ATATATTTTGAATGTATGAAGAACTGTGGGGGCGCAGTGGTTAGAACGCAGCGTTGCAGGCTGACTCTGGCCACCGTCTAGAGTTCGATCCTGACCAGCTCCAGGTTGACTCGGCCTTCCCTCCTTCCGAGGTGGGTAAAAGGAGGACCCAGGGCAAGAGGCTGACTCCGCAAACCGCTTAGAGAGGGGCTGCAAAGCACTGTGGAGCATCTGTTATAAGTCTAAGTGCTACTGCTATAGTTATTGCTGTATGGCTGGCTCACTCATTCAGGTGGTTTACAGAAATGAACCCCAATGCAAAACCCAATCCCCCCCCCCCCCCATTAAATAAATAAATAAATAAATAAATAAATAAGGGCAAGGGGTGCCCGCCTGAGCTCCTTCGCAGGAGGAATTGGAGCCAGGGTTCTAATGGAAGCCTGCTGGTCCTGAGCCTGTGGCCTCCGTTCTGGAGATTCCCCGCCATGACTGGGTTGAATGGGCTCTGAACATCACAGCCATTGCAAGAGACGACTCTGAACTGGGGAGTGTGTGTTCTCCAGGGCAAAGGGGCTGGAAAGGCAGCTCACACCGCTTACTCACTTAGGCCGATGAATCTACACCAGGGGTATCCAACTTGGGCAACTTTAAGGCCTGTGGACTTCAGCTCCCAGAATTCTGGGGAGTGGAGTCCACGGGTCTTCTGGGAGTCGAAATCCACCGATCCACCCACCATAGCTGGCTGGGGAATTCTGGGAGTGGAAGTCCACAGGTCTTAAAAGTTGCCACGGGTGAACAGCCTGGCTTACTCTCTAGATATGCCACCCTGTCACAGAGGCCTTGTCCGAGGCCGAGTACCCAGGCCAGCGAAATCCATTCTCTTCCTCGCGGCAGAGCAGCTTAGAAACAGTGGCTTCCGCCTGCCTGCCTGGCTGCTGGCCTTTCTTTGACCGAGTCCCTTCTTCAGGTCGTTGAGTGAGAACCACAGGCAGGACGAGGAGCAGGAAGACGAGAGCTACTCCCGGGAAATGTCCAGGTTCCTAGCCAACGCCATTGCCAAGCCCCTCCCCCAGACTCCCGAGAACGCCCTGCACAAGCACCACCACAACAGTGTGGACGACACCCTCCTGGCCCTGAACGTCCGGCCGGCCCTGCGGAACGGGCTGGAGAACAGCCTGGAGGATGCTTCCTACCACGAGGAGTCCCTCCAGGAGGACCAGGACAAGGAGAGCGAAGAGCAGCTCCATTCCACCCATCCGGCAGGTGAGGTCAAAGTTCTTGTGGGGTGAGGCTGGAGTATTTCTTATTTTGTTTTGTTTTTATCCTGCCTTTCTCTTTCTGTAAACAATTCAAAGCAGAGTAACGTATTTAATGCTACTTCTTCCTCTTATTGTCCTCACAACAATAATGCTGTGGGGTGAGTTGGGCTGATGAGAGGATGATTGGCCCAAGATTGTCCACCGGCTTTCGTGCCTGAGTCGGCGATGGGTCCAGAGTCACCCAGTAGGCTTTCACGCTTAAGGGAGAGACTAGAACTTCCGGTCTCCCAGTGACCCAAAGGCTCTCAGTCAGTTTTCATGACTCAGGCGGGACTAGAACTCACCGGCTCCCAGTTTCTAGCCTGGTGCCTTAACCACTAGGCCAGACCGGTGGTGCTTATTGGGATAGAAAGAATGGCTTTCCGGGAAGCAGACATTGGCCTTGCCCTCCCAGGTGACTCTGTCGTCGTTTGGATGGTGCCCCAAAGCACTGAGCTGGGGTTCTAAAAGTTGCAATTCATGGCTCAAATCTCTGCAGGCCTCGGGTATTTGTGCGCCTCTTCCAAAAAGACCAAGTGGTGACATTTCAGATCTTCCTTTAAAAACCAACTAACTAACTAACTAACCCCCCCCTCTCCCTCTCCCTCTCTCTCTCTCTCTCTCACACACACACACACACACACACCAACAAAAGAGAACCAGTTCTTTACATATTTATTACATTTGATGACGATGACGATGTCCATTGTCACATCCAACTCTTGCCAGTTCTCTGAGCCAGGCTTTTCTCCACAGTCTTCTGACCTTACGCTACTACCTCGAGGGGTTCTGCGCTCTGGCTGGTATCACCTTTTGATGGCATTATTACATGTAAAGAATTACATGTTTATTTTTTAAAAACACAGTTGTGGTCATCTCAAAAGATTACCACCATGGAAGAGGAGTCAAACAAACTCATGTTCAGAGCATTGGGGAATAGTAGTTGTCAGGTGTTGCTGATCACTGGCCTGCACCCAAAATGTGCCGTGTCGCCATTGGCAGGTGTGTTATCTGTGTCCTCCATCTCGGCCTAACAGGCATGTCCCACGTTTCGCTAATGCGCTCAGAGACTGCCTTGCTGTGTGTGGTTTTGCGGGGGACCCTCCCTCACTCGGATTTTGATTTTTCCAGGAATTGTCCTGACCCGTGTGGGCTACTACACCATCCCCTCCCTGGAGGAGCTAGCCAGGATGACCAGTGACACAGGAGAATGCATCGTGATGGACTTCACGGTCGGCCGTAAAGGTGAGAGGAATTACTTCTGCTGCCAGGGTCCTCCCTGTTCCTCGGGCTCAGCCGTACAGGCTTCTTAGCTGTCTAAAGGACAGGCAATCCTCGCCTTACAGCAGTTCGTTTAGTGACCGTTCAAAGTTACAATGGCACTGAAAAAAGGGACTTAGGACTGTTTTTCACACTTACGGCCATTGCAGCATCCCAGGGTCATGGGATGAAACTCCAGAAGCTTGGCAACTGACTCGTATTTACGACGGTTGCATTGAGCCAGATTCCCTTAACAACCATGTTGCTAATCTAACAACTGCAGTGATTCCCTTAACAACTATGGCAAAAAGTTCGTAAAATGGGGCAATGTTTGTCCAAGCCTATACAGAAAAATCTGGTCAACTCACAGCACAAATTGGCTCTGGATGAAGTTCAGTGGAATTCACGGGCGGAGGGAGGGCTGAGCTTGGATCCCTTGCGGCAACACGGCGATTCCAAACTGATGACACGTTTCACTCCGCCCTCCTGCCAGCTCTGCCTGCTCTTCTCCATTTTGTGCCCGGCCCTTGATGCTTGTTGAGAGTCTTCGCTACCGTGGCCCGTTAACTGTGGGCTCCTCTGTTCTCCTCAGGCTACGGCTCCATCTACTTCGAGGGCGAGGTCAATCTGACCAACCTGAACCTGGATGAGATTGTGCACGTCCGCCGGAAAGAGGTCATTGTCTACCCAGACGACGAATTGAAGCCCCCCATCGGGGAGGGCTTGAACAGGTGATGCTCGGGGGGGGGGCACGAGGGGGGGGGGGTCCTTACATATTTACTTCATTCCATTTATATGCCTCCTATCTCACAGCCAAGCAGCTCTAGGTGGCTTACAGCAAGGTTGAAAATGACAATATAAAACACATTAATATTAAAATGAACAGGTAGCTAATGAAGGAAGCAATGTCCACGTGGTCCCCAGCCGCAGTTCATTTAGTAACCATTCATAGTTAACCACAGCACTGCGAAAATTGAATCGATGACCATTATTTGCACCGTGTTAACTAACTCAACAGCTGCAGTGATTCACTTAACAACCATGGCAAGAAAGGCCATAAAATGGGGGCAAAGCTCACTTACGCTTAGCAACATAGATTTTTGGTCAGTTGTCATAATTTGAGGATTACCTGTATAATGGAGCGGGGGAGGTGAAGTTTTCTCTTAATACGTTATTAACCTGGGGAGGGTTAAGATAGGGGACCCAAGGATGCCTGTTATTCTGATAAAGGCTATTGGGTACCCCACCCTCATCTCCTGTTCAGTGGCAGAGGCCGCACTGCTGTGTGTACACACACACACACACCTCTTGGGTGCCTCCATTTCAACCCCCCTCCATCTTCCCCTTCTGAGCAGGCGAGCCGAAGTCACCCTGGACGGAGTTTGGCCCACGGACAAAACCTCGCGCTGCTTGATCAAGAGCCCAGAGCGGCTGACAGAAATGAACTACGAAGGCCGGCTGGAGGCCGTCTCTCGGAAACAGGGAGCCCAGTTTAAGGAGTACCGCCCCGAAACCGGTTCATGGGTATTCAAGGTAACCCCTTCTTCCGACGGATGAAAGGGGAGCGCGTGCTGGGGGGCAGCCGGAGTCCCCCCTTTTTAGAAATCGTAAGGAACAGGCGGGAGAAGAGCCTCGGTAACATTGGAAAAAAAGATATTCTTTGGGGGGCTTGAGGAAAGTGAGGTTTGCGAAGAGATGGCAGGAGGAGGACTGTGGGGTCCTTGGTGGTCTCTGACCTTGGTGGTCTTCTTGCAGACACTTCACGACCCAGCTAGGTAACACCATCAGTACAGCTGTAATGGCAATGAAAGTGCTAATAAAAACACATCACTGTTTGCTGTTATTGAATCTTCATCAGAAATTGACGGGCAGGACATTGTTTTGACACGAGAATAACCTGCCCTTGATCTTCTGATTTATATAAAACACAGCTTTTTTCTCTCTCCATCTAGGTGGCCCACTTCTCAAAGTATGGCCTGCAGGATTCCGATGAGGAAAGCGAGGAGAGCCTCGCCAAAGTGGAGGCCAAGAAGTTAAAAACTGCTCAGGTGCCCCTGCCGGGCCAGCTGATGTCTCAGCAAATGGCTGCCGCTGGGAAGTTGGTACCTCCTTCCAAGGTAGGAAAGGAAAAATCCTGGTGCCCTCTTAAAATTGCCGGTTGAAATTTTGGTCCTGCATAGAGCAGAGTCTGCCAACACAAACAGGTTGGAAATGGGTGATGCTGTCACTTTTTCCCCTCTGCACCCCGAAGGGCCTCGGCTGTGGTTGCCACCCGGGAGAGTGGAGGCAGGACCAGGGAATAGTCTGCCACAGCCAGCATCTTCTGTCAAAGGAGCAACACAGGGCACTGTTGGGATAACTTCACCCCCTTTCCCACCCTCTCGTCACCTGAACGGGATCTTGAAATTCAGGTGAACGAAGGTGACTCCCAGACCTTTAGGGAAGGAAAGCCTTTGGCCCCACTTGGCTAAAGCAAAGGGTTCCGTTGCTAGAGATGTTGGTTGCAGTCAAGTCAAGGCAGCTCTGAAATCTGTTGCGCTCGGTAGACACAAAAATAAAAGTGCAGGTTTGCCCCCAGCCCATCCCCCCCC